TTCTCCTTAGCCCTCCTTTTCTTACTAACTTATTTATAGAAACATTTTTTGCTGTCATTTATGGTAGTAACCAGATTAAGTTCTAGCTGGGCTTTGACCCTTTGCATTTTTTCCCTGCACAACCTCACAACATCGCAGAATCACAGAATCCCAAGGGTTGGAAGGGACCTCAAAAGATCATCTAGTCCAATCCCCCTGCAAGAGCAGGGTAACCTAGAGTACACCACACAGGAACTTGTCTAGGCGGGCCTTGAATATCTCCAATGTGGGAGACTCCACAACCTCCCTGGGCAACCTGTTCCAGTGCTCTGTCACTCTCACAGTAAAGAAGTTTTTCCTGATGTTCACATGGAACCTCCTATGCTCCAATTTACACCCATTGCCCCTTGTCCTATCACTGGACATCACTGAAAAAAACCTAGCTCCATCATCCTGACACTCACCCTTTACATATTTGTAAACATTGATGAGGTCACCCCTCAGTCTCCTCCAAGCTAAAGAGACCCAGCTCCCTCAGCCTCTCCTCATAAGGGAGATGTTCCACTCCCTTAATCATCTTTGTGGCTCTGCGCTGGACTCTTTCAAGCAATTCCCTGTCCTTCTTGAACTGAGGGGCCCAGAACTGGACACAATATTCCAGATGCGGCCTCACCAAGGCAGAATAGAGGGGGAGGAGAACCTCTCTTGACCTACTAACCACACCCTTTCTAATACACCCTAGGATGCCATTGGCCTTCTTGGCCACAAAGGCACATTGCTGGCTCATGGTCATCCTCCTATCCACCAGGACCCCCAGGTCCCTTTCCCCTTCACTACTTTCCAGCAGGTCAACCCCCAACCTGTACTGATACATGGGGTTGTTCTTCCCCAGATGAAGACTCTACACTTGCCCTTGTTGAATTTCATCAAGTTTCTCCCCACCCAACTCTCCAGCCTATCCAGGTCTCGCTGAATGGCAGCACAGCCTTCTGGTGTGTCAGCCACTCCTCCCAGTTTAGGATCACATCCTTGTAGTCCTTCTGAGTTGCCTGCCCCTCTGCCAAAGGCGGCTACCCCACTGCCTCTATCCCTTCTAAAGAGTTCATAACCATCCATTGCAGCACTCCAGTTGAGCATATGTCATAGGCTTCCTGCTGCACAATGGCTTACACAGCTCCTATTTGTTGCCCATGCTGTGTTCATTGGTGTAGATGCACTTCAGTTGGGCTATTTATCCCTCTGCTTCTTTTGGGAGGAAAGCCCTAAGTCTCAGGTTCTTCCACAGTTTCTAAAATATCAATAACTTTTGCATCTTTGCTATAACATGGATCTCCACCCCCTACCTCTGCTGACACAGCAGACTGAAGGACATTACTAGCATACTGCCCCTCAAACACTGGCATGCTGCCCTTAGGCTTAATTCTAGTAAGCCTGGTTTTATCCCTTTTCACCTCCAAATCCAGTTTACAGATCTTTCCATAAGCCCTGCTAACTCCTGTGCAAAGATCACTTTCCCCCTCTGAGATGGGTGTACCCCATCTGTTGCCAGCAGGCTTACTGTCATGTAAACCAACCCACAGTCAGCAGAGCAAAACAGTGTCTTACAGTCACTTACCTTATAATATAACCAACAAGATGATCAGTGTGTGGAAGTACAAAGAGGGATTTTCCAGAAAGGTCACATGCATTACATAAAGCTGCTGCCCTCTCTGATGCAATAACATCTTCCCCTAGTGAAGTGAAGGAAAGCACAAGAAAGTGGTATACAGTGCTGCAATGTCAAACTAGCTCTAAAAGCTTGACTAGTATGGTATGGAAAAACATAGGACAGATAAAACTAAGACCACATTCTTTCTTCCTACTTCCACAGTACTAGCTGCTTCATCCAGCAGAACACATTACAGAAACTTTCTAGGAGCAGCTTAGCTAGCAACAACCTACAAGTACGACATAAGACTTTCATCTCGCAGAAAGTGAGAATGTGTCTTGTGAAATACAACAGCATCCAGAAAAGACAAACATATACAGCAGGCAGAGAAAAAACAAAAACCAGTTTGCCAGACACTAGAAAGCATGCAGCTACAGCCAAGCAGCAGCACTACGGAAACATAAGATTATAACATATCACATTTCACAGATCCACTTAACGCCCAAAATTCAACCATTAAAACAGATTTAAACTGAAAGGCTTCTGTAGGTACCAAAAACCCTTCCCTCTAGGTTCTCATTGCTTTCACAGCTTTTCTCAATCTGAAGCAAGCTTTAAAATGCCAGTTGCTTACAAGGAGGCATATCCAGTGTATTACAGTGGCAAACCATTTTTGATACTGCACATCAAAAGATGGACTTGGACTAAAGAGGAAAAAGTTACAGATAAAAATATCAAATGCTTAGAGCACTCTATCCGTACACCCTCCTGCAGCCACAATACATTTAACATATGTAGATGATCTTAGATTAAGAATGCAGATAATGTGATAAAGGATAAGGGCTCAGTCCATCAGGCCCTCTGAAAAACTGAGATCACCACAACCATGCAGAGAGATTTCTAGTACCTGGAGGTAATGGTGTTTTTTTCTGAATCAAAACCACAGCAACTTTTGTATTTCTTCCCTGCAAGCTTTGCCTAAAATAGAAACAGCCCAGAGTCAAGGTTTCATTTCTTATTTCTGAATAATGAGAACAAAATGAGATTTCAGTCTAGATGGAAGCATTGAAAGAATTTTATATAGAGGAAAATAAACCTGAATACAACAACATGCTGCATCATCCACAGAATGCCATGTCCCCTTTTTTGTTTAGATGGGACAGAACAGCTGTCCGGACTTAAGCAAGCAAAAGTTCAGAGGTTGTTTTCACTTGAATAACTTTTATAAATAAGGCATTAAAAGATAGTTTCTTTATAGTCGGATAAAGAAACATTACAAAGCAAGGTTCAAGTTCCCTTTCATTTGTGTCTATTTATATGTTTTAGCATACAGGAAGGGTTCTGCAATTCACACTTACCATTAGCTTGTAATGGAATCATGGAATAGTTAGGGTTGGAAAGGACCTTAAGATCATCTAGTTCCAACTCCCCTGCTATGCGCAGGAACACCTCCCACTAAACCATGTACATTATGCACTAAGTGAAAAAGACTCTACCTGACAATTTCAACTCTAGTAGCACATTCCAGCTGTTTTTCTTTCCATTGTGGCTCATCCCAGTCTAGTTCATAGAACACCACCACAAGTGCTGGAACCAAATTCAGGTGTTTGTTCATCCAGCCAGTCTTCAGGATTCCTTTTGGAATATACCATTCATAGGATGTCCTCTGAAAATATTGAGATTATTAAAGCGAATCCATTTACAGACATTTATAGCAGAAGGAAGGGAACTGCCTCTACATTCTTGTCAGTTGAGAATATATCTGTCATCTTCACTTTAACATTGCTCCCTTCAAGCCCTTGCTTCCTATTAAGCAAGACATACCCCTGGTTACCTGGCATCATGGCCTGATGTCTGAGGTATCAGCAACAAAGAACAGACTCCAGGTAGACTGGAGAAAAGGGTTAAGCTCAGAAACATGTTTCACACACTTTCATCAAATATTAGGCTCAATTTAAAAGAGGGCTCTCAAACTGAGCCAGGAGAAACCAGTCTGGATTCTTGCTGTTTGCCAGCATCACAGAATAACATGGTTTTCCAAAGGTGGAACCCATTGACATTGTTTTTTAACTGCCACTGCAAAGCAGAAAGTACAGCAGAGAGATTCTTTCTGCTGCACTTCATTTGGTTAAAGGCTTTATGTCTTTCCCTGAATACAGTGATTTCAAACATCTAGTTTCTCCAGAGTTACACTTCAGGTTTCATTAAAACTCAAATTTTAGAAGCATACCTCAAAGCTGAGTAAATGACCAGCAGTATCTTAAAAAGTAAATCATACTGACTTTCCCTGCTTCGGGCTTATGAGCTAAGGCACCCTCGTTTCCCAGGCATCCATAGCATTCCATTACAACGCCCTTGGTCCTGACACTTCTTTAAGCTCCTAGCCCCCAACAGTGAGGGAAGAGATAGCAGAGGTCCGGCTAGCGCCGAGCAGTGTGAGTGCTGCTCGGCTGTCTGCTAACCAGGCAGAGTAGCCCAGCCCCGGCTACGGCCCTTCCCCTCGGGGAGCCGCCAACTCCCGCACACCCCGGGCCCGGCGCTGGCCTTTGCTGCACGGGCACAGGCTTGAACCCGGCCCGGAAGGGAGCAGCCGGGGCACACGCCGCTCGCTACCTTCGTCCTGCATTTGGGGTACTCGTGGTCGCCGGGGAGCACTTTGAAGGAGATGGGAACGCGGTCAGCCCTGCGGTTGGCACAGAAGGCGTCCCACACGGCCCGGTGCACGGCGTTGTACACCACGTCCAAGCCGGTGAGGGTGACAAACGCCATGGGCCGGCAGCACAGCTCCACCGGGAAGTCCCACTGTGTCGGGGTCATGCTTCACCCAGGCAGGCGGCCTGCGAGGGCAGATCTTAGCACGGCGCCTTCGCGGCCCAGGCCGGCCGCTCCTCCCCAGCTGCGGGAGCTCTCCCCCTGCCCCGCCGGGTGTTGACACAGCACAGGACCCGTCCCTCCCGCGCCCCGAAGCGCCGCTCACGGCTGCAGGCTGGAGCTCGGCACCGGGCAGCGTCCGGCGGGAGCCACCGCGGGTCACGGGAGGCGCCGCGGGTAGAGCGAGGGAGGGCCGCCGCGTCGGGAAGCAAACGCCGGGCGTCGGAAGGGCAGCAGAAGCTACCAATCGGCGCCTCCGTTCCACCCCCGGCCAGTCAGAGAGCAGCCACGCAGATACGTCACTGGTCAAGGAGCCAGTTAGCTAAAGAAGGAAGAGAGGGGAGACTAGAGGAGCCGACCAATGGAAAGACACAGAGGAGGTGACGGTAGGCGGAAGGGGCCAATAGCAACGAGCAACTGGGCGACCTGTGCTGCTCGCCGGGGAGGTGTGTCCGTCGGGCGGGGCCGCTCGGGCCTCCCCGTGCAACACCGGCGGGTCTCGGCGAGCTGCGCCTCGCCTGCGGGGCTCGTCGAGTCCCGGCGGCGGCTGCGGGGGCAGCGGAGGGGGGGGACTTCCGTGACTGTGCGCCATGGCGGCCAACGAGGACCAGGAGGTGAGTCCCGCTCCCTGCTTGCTCCGCTGCCTGAGGGAAAGGGGCCTTGGCGGGGAGCGGGCTAGGAGGCAGCTGGGCGGAGGGGGACGGGGGGAAACTGGAGCGACCGTACACAGCTTCGCGAACCGACCACGGTCAGGTGCGAGCTTCGTGTTGGGGCTGAAATCGGTAACGGCCTTCTCTGCTTCGTGCTGCAGATGGAGCTGGAGGCGCTGCGCTCCATCTACGAAGGAGATACGTGCTTCAGGGAGCTGAGCCCGGTGTCCTTCCAGTACAGGGTAAGGCAAGGTAGATGTCTGCGAGTCGCTGCAGCTCAGGCTTCAGCTTGAATTTACTCCCCTGGCTTGTAGTCGATGTACCCGGTTTGTCTTTGTAAACCAAATGAGCATCCGATTGCGGCTAAGGCTAGATCCTAGGACGTTGTTTCATGATCTTTGGTACTATGATGCTTGGTAGCCCAGTGCTTCATGTTCAGGAACCTGCTCCCAGTGCGGGTTTATTATCCTGTAGCTGAACATCCTCTGTACGTCTGTGTACTGTGTAGCTAGAGCTGTCAACTTTTTTTTTTGTGACTTTTCAAATAGCTTCAGAGTAGCATCAGTTATTGTAACAAGATACAGGTCAGTATAAGTAATAGCGCTTGAATCCTACCCGTGTAAGTGCAGCCTTCCTTCACTGATAAGATCATTCTTACTAAATCTGGTTTCTGCAGAAGAGTAAACATGACGAGCCTCCAAGTTTACAGTATATCATTCTATGACTCTACTAGCTTTGCTCATTGTTAATTTTCATTAGCCAAAAAATAATTGTGAAAAGTTAGGGTAACGTAATTTAAATAATGTAAAACTTGTGTTATTGCTTTTGTCTGAGGCTGTCTTTCTCATGAAGAAGAATTTGCATTACAAGAAGGCATAATGCAATTAAGTGTCTGCACAGACACTGTGCATAAAAAAAATAACCACTTTGGTGCTTTTGTTTGTTTGGTTTAAATTTTGAAGTGCAGTGACCTTACCTTGATTAGGAATTTTCTTCTGGCTACACTGCATTCTGTGTAATTTATTAAAGCCAGGTTTTTACTATTCTATAATGAACGAAGTAAGGGATAATTTTTTGTAGATTAGAATATGGTTTAACGAACTTTGTTTTGCTAGCCTTCCAAATCCATGTGTGAGATTCCTTCTGTTTGTATAGTGTGCCTTTGGTTGCACCTGTACTTGTTTTAAAATTTTTAAGTGATTTGTTTTTAATTCGACAAAATTTTAAGGGTTGTATATGTAATTTGGGTTCAGTAAAGTGGTTTGATGTGCATGATTTTTTATATTAAACTGGGCTTTTTTTAATGCTGTGGGTTTTTTTATCCCGTCCCATTTTACTGACTTCTTAAATCTTACTAATCATTCTTTCTTATAGTGAAATAAAATAATCTGTAGAGCTGAGACATAAATATTGTTAAGCTTATATATTATTTTTGCTATCTTAGGTCACTAGTTTATCACCATCTTTATTTCAATACTGTCTTGTGGTTTGCTTTCATATTTCTCTGAGCTTGGATGCACAGGGGGAAAAAGGAAGGCTTCATTTTTCCTATTCTCATTTATGATTGTATAATATTTGGCTTGAAGATGCTGCAAAGTAGCTTTCAAAACCAAACAATTAAAAAAAACCCAACCCAGAACAATAAACCACATAAAGTGAGCATTGAATGTTTCTGCTGCTTTTCCTAGGATGAAGACTACAGAATCGAGGTTAATACTTGTGTTAGAAGTTTAATACTGTTTCCTAGATAACAGCTTTGTTTTCTAATTGATAGCTTTATGAAAATAGTTGTTATCTTAAGGAGTTTGGATAGTCTTAAGGAAGTGAAAGACTTGTATATTGGCATTGTAATCCTTAATAAGTGACTGGAAACTGCTGATTTATAATGTTTTTCTTTTCACTTCAGATAGGTGAAAGTGGAGATCCCAAAGCGTTTCTAATAGAAGTTTCTTGGCCAGAAACATATCCTCAAACAGCACCAGTCATATCAATGGATGCTTTCTTCAACAACACAATGTAAGTATTTAGGACAGCTTCACTGCCTAGGTTTGTATGTGAGGGCTTTTTGGTTTGCAAGTTCTTCCTCATCTGTGTAGATTATAGTTGGATTTTATGATTTCTTTTAGATCTTCAGCGATTAAACAAAGTATATTGGATAAGTTGATGGTAGAAGTTGAAGCAAATCTTGGGACTGCTATGACATACACACTTTTTGAATATGCCAAAGATAATAAAGAGGTGTTCATGGAAAATCAGCCCGTTAACACTGTGGTAAGTAGATAAATTCGGACTTTAATCCCTTGCTTTTTAAAACTATAGTTGTGAGTATGTGCTGATTAAAAGCTGCAGGATGCTGACAACATTGCTTCCTTCTGATAGTCAAGATACTTCAGTATGTGAGGTTCACTTATCACACACAGAGGTATCTGTGGAACCAGTATGCAAAATATTAACAACCATTTTTATCCTTCTCAGACTTCAGTAAGCAATAGTATTGCAATTGGAACTCCTGATGTGCCAGCAAGTAAGAAAAAAGACAAAAAGGAGCATTTATCCAAAACCCAGAAACGAAAACTAGCCGATAAAACAGGTTAGTTCACTATAACATTGTTTTGTTTGAGCAGTGTGTGAATCCAAATTTTATAGCCATGACAGCTTGCTCTGTCAGAGTTAGAATCAGTAGTTTTTTCTTCATAAGATTAACTACTTTAAGTCTGCGATCTCTGTTCTGCTTGTTTTAGATAAATCATTGTTGCCTGAGATGTTAGTTCTGGTCAAGCAGATTTCTGTAGAGTAGGGATTTCAAAATGTCAGTGGCTTTGTTTTATTATGGTTTATTTTAATTGCAATTTGTGACAAAAGTGAAATAAAAAAAAATACTTGTGGGAGGAGAGCATTTGGGACTTGTAAAAATTCACTTTCAACAAAAGGCATGGTTTGTTGATGGCCCCTTGTAAATAATTCATGTTATTAAAAACATACTTTCTAAATGGAAGTATTTGCTTTGGAACCCAAAATACAACATTTCATTTAGTTTGTATCCTCTAAATAGAGATGCTTCGACAGATACGTTATGCTTTCAATGAAGTGGTAGGGGTTTTGATTGAAAAGCATTTGATCTTTCAACTAATCTTGCTAATGACATTTATGTGTTCAACCTTAGTTTTCAATTATAGGTAATACAATCCTATTGCAGCAATAGGCTGTACTCTTTGATAGCAATTTCTAAAGGCAGGTTGAATATTGACCACATAAAGAAAAAGCTGTGACAGAATGCATCATTGCAGGTCGGCTCAGCTCATGTTGGAGTTGTCTTCTGAATTAGTCAGATGGACTCAGGTGTTTTCGTTTAAACAGAATTACTTTGAAGAACTTGATTTTTTTAAGACATTAATATCTATTTTTGCCCATTGTTTTGTAGTGGAGAAATTAAGCTTTTTGGATCTTTAGAATTTTGTGGGTTGATTCCCTTAGCTCATGTGCTGAAAATCAAACCTTCTTACTCTGCAGATAACAAAGGGGAGCTTCCGCGAGGATGGAACTGGGTGGATGTAATCAAGGTAACGTGACTGTATTATGTGCAGTATTATGAAAATACTGCATATGTACATTAAAAAAATATTTGTAATTATAGCCAAAGAAAACTAATCTGATCCTTTTTTCTTGCTTTCCTTCCTAACTGTGTTTGAATTTGACTGTGGTGTCATTTCTACATGCGTCCAGCATGTAAGTATTTTCAAGTTATGTTTTTTTTAATGCTTAAAAGATTGTAGGAAATAGTAAGGACTGTTGCTCATTTTGGATTCTAATTTACATATTTCGCAAATGCTTTAAGATGCTTAATCCTTATGAATATTGGCATCAGAAGGACTTTGATTCCTCATTGAACTTTGTTGGTTTAGTCCTTGTTTTTATTTATTGAATAATTTTAGTTTTATGATGAGAGGGCTTTTCTGGCCAAAAGTATTGCAAAAATTCTGCCTTCATGTGGCAACAAGATGTAAAATAAAATTAGTGGTGCTGACAGGTTCTGGAGGGCAATGGATGAGTAAACAGAAAAAGGGAGCTGTCCCAGGTGGGAGCATGTTGCTGTCTCCTACAAGCCTGGCCATTCTCTGCTGCAGCTCCTCCAGTGAATAGTTCCTTTCTACTTGCTTCTTCAGCATTCATTTCTGCCCCACTCTTCTTCTTTGCTCATTCTGTGGAAACCAGTATAGCTGCTTGACAATTTTGAAAGCAAACTGTTTTATTTACACAACTGTAAGTAATTCTCGGTGTAAAACCTAACACTGAGCAAATTAATGATTATGGTAGCTTTGAAGAGAGTCCTTCTGAGTTAAAAGTGGCTATGTGTAGTGGCTGTCTTGGATTCCAGATGGACATCAAATTAGATGCACTACATTTAGTAATTATAAACTTAGCTTTAAAAAGTGAGAAATAGTAAGTTGATGTCTGGTTTTGTATCGTGTAAATTTCTATATGGGAATTCCCTGAGAGATGTGTGAAGATACTTTTTCCATTACTTCATCTTTTTTATTTTGGAGAGCTTGTGGTGGAGTCTTCAAATTAAATGCAAACACTACCCTGAGGTTTTTCTGGGGTTGTGTGGCTCTTTCTTTGCTTGATCAACTTTCACATTCAGGAAATAACCTCATTTAGTGTTTAAGCTTAAGAAATTATTTTTGATGCTTTTCAGTCTCTTGGTACAGTAGCACAATCAGTCTGTATTATGAATTAAATATATATGTGTTCTGTGTAAGATGGAGATAATGTTGTTCTTCTTTCCTAATAAATGGAATGGCAGTCTAAACTTTGAATACTTTCTTTTTGTGTCTCTTTTATAGTTAAGCAAAACTGGTTCTAAAGATGATGAATAAAGGACTTTGGTACAAGAAAACTCCACCTTTTAATACAGTGCAATTTTGGGTCACCATCTTTCTCTTTAATAACTTTCATATTTGTTAAAGTAAACATTTTATAAAGCTCGATTTCCTAACTTGTAGACCTAGTCAAACAAGTTTATCTAGAGACTATGTAGTCTTTGGGACAAAAAAGCAACCTACAAACTTGCCTTAAATGAGGGTTAGAATGTGACAAAAGATTTAGAGTGCCAGCGTGGTGAAGTGAATAGTGCTATATGCAGTGTTTATTAATTTGTATTTTGCTCTGTAGTAAAATCCTGTTATAGTGGACCCAATGATATTGTAAACATTTTCTGGTGTTCTAACTCCAATTGAAGAAAAAAGCACTATAACAGTGATTGGACACTTCAAAATAAATTATTCCATGGAAACAAGACCTTTGTCATTTGTTTATCTAATATGAATGTGGAAGGAGAACATTAAAATTGTTACATTGCAATACAAATTTCACCAGTTAGTGGCTGAAATAGTAAATACTTAGCAAAAGCAAGGCCAAATATCCTGGTCTGCTCAAAAATGAGTGGCTGTAGCAGGAGTATGTCGTCTTTATTCTCTGAGATATCCGTTAGCCTTTCTCCCATGTGCATCTTTACAGAAGGTGGATATCTGTGGGGAGGGAAAAGTGCTTTCTTGCATGTGTCTTGGTGAGTGTTGGGATTTTATAGCTCTTTCATTGGAGAAATGGGCTTGGAGGCCCACACTGAGTGGTGGGACAGTGGAAGTCAGCACTGTGCCAAATGTGTTGGGGGAACTCTTTTTGTTTTCTTAATCTGCTCTCTTGTATTGGAAAGAGAAGTCATCTTTACTATAGGAACGGTTACTGAACACGAGATGCCTTAATGTCCTTTATTATTTTTGTTTGGTTTGAGATGAACTTTAATAAATGCCTATTTATCTGCTGTGGTACGTGTTTCTTTTTCTCAAAACTGTGTGTTACTGATCTTCTAGGGCCAAGTTTGACCTTGCAGAGGATTTTCTATTGCAAAGAAAGCATTCTTAAAACCTGGTGGAAGAATTCTGTCTTTCCTCCCTGTATGTTTACATGGTTACAGGGTCCCTGTATGTTTACATGGTTACAGGGTAGCTGTGTTATTGATACGAGGGTCAGTCATCCCACTGAGAGTCACAGGAGAACATCCATTGCGTTCAGCACACACACTAAGTCCAGTGCCTCTTTCAAAGAGTGCACTCCACTGCACATACTAGGTACAGCGTTTGGTGAGAGGATGTTAAGAGGTGCATGCTGGGTGCTGTTGAGAGCCTTTGCAACCAAGAGAGGATAGCTTACGTGACTGTCGTATTTGGGCTTCAATTGATGGAAGTGTTTATGCTACTCTATGTGTCAAGAACTTATATGCAACATACAGTAGTATAGTTCTCTTAAATTATTTCTGGAGGATAAGCTAAATATATTGCAAATGTACTGCTTCTCTTCATTATATATTTATTAAAGCAAAAAAGTTACATGAAATGTTGTGACTGCAGGTGAAAGAAAAAAGATACTGCATTTGTTCTGTGGTTTTCATTCTTCTGAAGAGGTTGTGAAGAGATCTGAAAGAAAGATGGTATGTACTGCTGTCTTCCAACAACAAAGTCTAGTTTTTGCTGAAACGCTTGAGTTACAATTGGTAAATGTATGTGCTTCCCTAATAAGGAAAATACTATTAATGGTTAAAGAAGTCTTAATTCCAGGAAGTCATGGTTTCTTTTTGAACTTAACTTGCATTTACTAAAAGCCAGGAAAGTACATAAGGGAGGACTTCTTGCAAGTGACACAGTCTTGCCTTTGACGTAACCTGGAGGCTCATGGCTGCAATCTGAGCAAGACTGTCTGGCAGGGAGTAACATTGTGTGGAGAAATAGCTCTGGTAGTACCGTTAACAGGGAAGCGCATTTCATGTCAGTCTCTGCTGGCATCAGAATGGGCAGGGCTTTCTCTATTCAGAAGTTCTCCAAGGGGAACTGGCTTGTTTTTGCTAGCGTCCTTGGTTTATAAATCAAGTTGCCATGACAATTTAACTGAATGGGTTAGTTAGGGAGGTTGGGCTAAGGACAAATGGGAACCACATCTCTTGCTTTTATAGTGTTACCGTGTATAGCAGCAAACTTAACCTTGTGAAATGCCTGATTTTTTTAGCTCCCAGTGTGCTTTTAAATCACACCTCCTTGTGAAAATACGTGAGCAACCTCCTCGGGTTCTGTTAGTAAACGTGTTTGTTTGCAACTCTACTTTCAAGGAAAATATTTTTCATTGGGAATTTTTGTGTCAGTTCTTTGCTTCTGTGTAAATTTCAAAAGGTACTTTCTGTAGTTAAACCATTTTCTCCTACGGCATGATGGTTGGAAGAACAGGGTCATTTCAGGAGTTCAGGTACTTGATCTTATGGAGAGGCTGGAGCACTGACAATTGGGGGTCAAAAAATGTCATTATTCCTATCAAGAAAAGCACAACTACAAATATGAATCATGACTACTGAGGGAATTCTGAACTGTTGAAAAATGCACTACTACCACCTTGTTTTAGTAAAAACCTGCTGGCAGTAGAAAAATGGTTGTTTCTGTTTCAATAGGGCAGGAGTCTATTCACTGTAGGACTACACCACCTATTGAAACTCATGGGCTTTGCAGTAGCACTTTGATTGGCCTGAGAAGACAAGTGTCGATACTAGTAACAATAAAATAAAAGTAGAAAGTGTCCAAAATACAGGATGACTAAAAAGGAATTTGTCTTTTTATGGAATTTTCCATATGGCATGGATACAAATTGCCTTACCGAAGCACTGTTTGAAAGAGCTTTTTAAATAAATACTTTATAGTGTTGCTGCAGTAACCAGTTGGAAATCTCATCGGATCAAGCAGAGCTTACTTCATTCCCTTCTTCAAACCTGCCTCTGAGCATCCTTCCTCGAGAGAAATCTGGTGCAGAAATTTGTGGTGGCAACACCAGTGCTTAAATGAAGTTTTGTGGCATTTTTTTCAATTGAAATGTAACTTCTAATATTTTTTCTCTTTGGTCTTCTAGTGCACATTTGAACTGGTGAATATTCCCAATGCATTTGAAAGTTAGTTAATGTTAAGCTATGCCTTTTTTTTTTTTCTCACTGGGCTATCATTCTGTGGTTTGTTTGCTTGCTGTTAAGGAAATGGGGAGTCTCTTCTCTCTCTCCTTACCTCCTCCCTACCTTTCTTTTTCTGCTCTGTCAGTCCTTGTTGTACCCTGGTGCACATCACTAGGCAGTGCAGTTTCCAGGCTCAACTTACAGGAGCTGCTAGCATAGGGTATGTGCAAGTTTTGCTATAAAATTATTTGGTATCTCTGAAACACAGTGACCTGTTCCCAAAAATCTGTCCATCTCTTTCTGAAGAATACAGAAAGAAGTATGTCAGGGTCACAAGAGCAGTCACTGTCACATTGGTATTTTATACTTTATTTCAGATGAAACTTCAAGTCTTTAGTTGTATTTGCATGATGTTGAATGCAATTCAGTGCTGTTTGTTTGTACCAAGACCAGAGGTGCCCCATTGTACTGTAATGAATAGAGAATAATGCAGACTGCCTTTAAGGAGGTGGGTGGAAGGGTGACATCAGTGATAACTTGGCAGTGTGTACCTAGCATATCCTGCTCACCCCCTTGGTCAGCCTGGCAGGGCTGATACTGAAATCAAGGCTGCTAATGTCTGCACTACTGCTGCAACTGGTTGTACTTGGGGTGGATAGATAAAGCATGTGCAACTGGTGAGTGATGAGGTTTTGGTGAGTAGAAGAACAGTAAGAAAAAAAACATTTCTTCATATAGGACCTTTGGTAGAAGTGCAAATCTAGGGAAACCATACTTCCATGTGAGGCAATACAAGTGGGTTTGGGTTATATTGTGAGCTTCATGCCGTGAAAATCATTGAACTGGTCCGAAACAGAAATAGTTTCCCTTTGGAAATTGTTTCCTTCAACTATGTTTTGTGTGGGAATTCTGGGTGGACTGGAGAAGAGAGTGGAGGGGGCAAAACATCCTCATAAACAACCTTGAAGAGCATAAGGGATAGATGTTAATTGCTGCAGGACAAACAGTAAAACAAAAGTGGAGCTTGTGGTTGCAGAGCTGTAAATTCTGGCATGAGGTTGAGCTATGGTAAAAAGCAAGTGGATTGTAGATTTTCTTTCTGTTGCTGTCACCTACTCTTTCACTAGCATGGATTTGGCTTCATCACAGAATGGGGCTCATCCATGATTGTGAGAAGAATTTCTGTTCATCTGACTTAACACTTCCTGTTACTCTCTTTTTGAGCCTTATGGAAGGGACCTGTGAAAGTCTGGTGTGCTCTAAGAAATAACATTGAGACAAAACATACTGACTAGGCTCTGGAAAAGTCGTGTTAGAAATTTGATGTCGGTGAAAGAAAGAATTGACTGTTTCAGAACAAAGCAAGAAGTGACTCCAAATGGCTGAATTACACAAGATATATGAGAATCTATATCCAGATACCAGTGTCCTGTGTCAGACTGAAAGTTTGACTAGTTTAAAGTTTTATATAGCTATTCGTTGCTATTGTGTCTGAGCATTTGTGCTTGTGGTTCCTATGTGGTTTAAGTATTCAAGTTTACAATACAGCAGAAATTTGACAGCTCGTACTGTGATTGCCTACTGCAAGTTGTTTATATTGTGAAATGGGATAAGGTGACAGGAATGAGAAAGAAAGCCAAACTGCAACTGTATGGCCTTAGTGGGGAGGAGTGGAGATGAGTAGGTGTCTCTGAGGGCAGAATTTCTTTTGTAGTGTCTTTATTACTGGTAATGATCAGTGAAAGGGAAAAGTTTGTCTTGGATGAGTTTGGAAGATACTATTCAAGGAAAGATATTTTCCTTCTTAAACAATTACAGTGTCATTGAGAGGCAATAAACATAAACATAGTCTTGTATGGAGTCACTTTTAGAGCAGGATCTTACTTTAAATCAAGTGTCTCTGTCAGTAGTAGATTTTATGATTTCCTGCAGGAAAAACAAACATGAAGAAAGCATTCCTATCTAAAGAGCTGCTGTTTCCACCATAGGGAGCCATTTAGTCTCTACTTATAGATAGAACTATGGTTCAATTGACCTTGAAGAGAGACATTTTATAATAGTACAGGGAAATTGTAGCAGCCAGTTCACAAAAAGTATGTGTCCTTTATAGATGGTTAACAAATTTGCACAGCTTTATCAGGTTTGTATTTTTCTCTGAAGATCAGCACCAGAATATTACCAGGTTTTAGTTATCTGGCATACAGCATGATTATGATATTCCCCCCCTCTCTGCCATATGTCTTTGGCTGATAGAAAGTACAGGATGTAGTATAGAAATGTATTTCCTAGATTAAAACAGTGCTAAAGTTACAAATCCACTCAAAGGATGGAAAACAGTCTTACTCAGAAGTAAGGATGTGCCAAAATTAAAGCTGCCTGTGTGGTGTTTATAGGAAAAAGAATGCATAGGAAGATTTCCTTTCTATGGCTACATGTTTTGGGGATTTTGTTTGCAGTATTTTTTTCCCTGGTAATGTCCAAGCAGATGCTCAGTGCTTTGCTTCCTAGTGTCCCTGTTAGTAGGAAAGCAATACAAAACCCTGAGTTTTAGAACGCTCCTAAATCTGACAAGGGAAGGAAGTTTTCACTTTGTAGAAGTAAGTAAAGTAGCAACTACTCCTGGAAAAAAAGGTAACATTTGAAATAGGATGTATAGGCATAGAGGGAAATTAATTTGCTTTAATAAAACTGATTGGACCTCAGTGGCTTTACTGCGTGGTTCAGAGTTTGTCTCCATGCAGTAGATCTGTGATATATAAATGCTTATGGATGACTTTAGGTGACTATCTAGCTACGGAACGTGTGATTAAGCATTGCTTTCAATAAATTTGTGTTACAGA